TTTCGTGGTATTTTAAAAGAGTGTGTACGCTGAGTATTTTGTCCAAACGGACTATAAATTATATTATACTTAATAATATTATATGGACAGATCCCGAAATGGTCGTGCAAACGGGAGATCTAACCAGACGAAATTGAAGAGATTTATGTATTTGCCGAAAGGGGAGTTCGCCTACTGCATCGCTTTAAGTTACTAAAAAGTGAGCTTCATCAAATTGTGTGTACTGTACCTAGCAATGACCCGTCTGTAAGTATGGCTTCGTCTACTTCATGTGTGTGTGTGTGTGTGTATGTGTGTACGTGCGAGTGTGTGTACGTGGGCGCATAAGTATGCCAGCCAGTGAGCTAATATGAGAATGCATCTGAATGGTTTGTAAGGGGATGTCAGACTGAAGACATCAAATTATGCTTTAAATACACACACCACTATATATTTATAAGGGGAGTGCTCTATCGTAAAACGGAAAATTGGCCTAGATGCAGGTATTGAGGGGAAAACCACCTAGGCGAAAGCGAAGAGTGTAGTCTGAATACATCAAAATGTAAGTTAAACGTTTAAATAATATAGGGATTGGTATAAATAGACCTTTCTCCGTTGACCCGTGCGTAGGTGCGTGTGCATGCTTGTGACTAAGTAGACCAAGGGAAGTCTGGAGGCAAGGCTGCTTCAAGTTTACATAAGAAAGTTGTGCTTATGATGGCTTTTCCTGCTGCTCTCTATTGCTCCTACTGAGGAGTGGTATCGGTGGGGAGGGGGGCGCGCCGAGTAAGGGTCATCGAAAGTCTGATTTGTTCCACGTGTATAAACAGAAAAATAAGTTTATAGGTATTTCAGAATTCACCATGAAAATGTGTTTTACATGTGCGGTCCGTCATGCCCGGTACAAGACGAAATGAAATGAAGACGAAAAGGGACCAAGCAACGCATGTACACATATGCACATATGCACACGCACATGGAAAGAGTAAAAGAAATACCACGACCTATATGGATTTATGCAAATGGCTGATGTCTGCAGGGTGAAGGTAGGAAACTAGGTAGCTGTAACTATACTGCAAACATGCACATCCGCTTTATATATATATATAATATTTATGCGTGTGTGCGCGTTGGTATGCCTATTCTTATATTTATATTTACCAAGTAGTAAAATTCGATGCCTTAAACGACCCAGTTCACTGAGAATGTCATAAAAATCTATCCTTTTACGGGAACGCGTTTTCGCCCATCGCGAGGGCTCATTTTGGAAGGAGTATCATATCAAAGTGGGCTGGGAGGGGAGATATACAGACCAGGTTCGCCAGGGTATGGTAGACTGTGCCTGAATGGGGACGGGGCAGGGGACAGATTTAAGGCAAGGTGGTCTTTCGGGAAGACTTGGATGAGGAGAATGTGGACGAAGGATCATGGAGGTGTGTGGGAGGAGGGTGGCGACAGGGGGCGAGGGGAAATAGGCACATAAGCGGCGAGAGATATTCGAAAGCGGGCAATATAAGCCGACGAGCAGAGTAACTGATTGGGGCCGAGGGCGAGTCTTCTGCCCCAGTCATTCAGTCGAGTTTATTGTGCGTTTGCATACTCGTGTGTGAATGTTGAGGCATATAGACATTTGTGTGTTTGCGTGTGAATATGAGTAAAATGTAGTGGCCGGCTTATGCATTTCTATGCCCACCGCCTGGCATCGCGTCTCATCAACAACCCCCCTGATGATGTAGATGTGGAGGGGTGGCTCTACTTGGTCGGGATAAACGATCTCAATCCATTGGCTGTGGCCATGGATACCTCAAGAGAGGCACTCAGAGATGACCGAAGAAAAAGTATACTGAGGCCAAGAAACTCGGCAGCAAGAAATGGGTCATGAAATTAGCCTTTAGGACCCCGTCAGGTTAGTTTTGACTCGGCCTCATTTTGTAGCCTCATTGCTCGTCATTTTCATCTTTTTCTACAGTTCAAATACCACTCGTCCTTTGTTGTCCTGGGCACGGGGCAGACTTGGATTCGGCCATCTACATGTGGAGGGGGGGTTCGCGAGCTCGTCCACTCAGCCAATTTGGTTGGCCTCTTCAGCTCTTCCGCCTGCGCTCTACCCGATATTATATTATGCACTTGGTCCTCAAAGTCGATTAGGGTCATTTGCCGACTGGAAGGTTTCATGATGAACTTAAATTTTACTTATTTCCGTTTATAAGTAGGCATCGAGACCATCAGTAGGTCACATCTCTTGGTTTAAAATGACGAAGGACTGGCAGATGAATTTGCCCACAATGCAAAGAAGTCACTTTTTCCTGCAATCTCACATAGCCTCGCCTCCAAAAAGGTATTCTCATCTCAGCTGGACTGGACGGAAGTTTCGAGCACGTCTATGCTTCCTCAGCACCTGCAGCGGGACTCGAACCCGGATTGTGGTAGTGCAACAGATCACCGGGCAGAGGTGAATTCAAACGAAAGCCAGGACATTTCACATATCACATTAAAATAGACTGCTTTACTTAGTTTTTGTTTAGAAGTAGGCTTTTCACACTGTCTATATGATTGTGGAAAAAATCAACTATCTACACCTTAGGTATCAATTTCGCTTATCCTTTCATCCAAACAGGCTTTCTCATCCAGGATAAACGGCATATTTAACCTCGTCCGGGTATCATCACATTCCCCAAAGGGAATCGAACCCAGGTCGTGTCATCTTGGAAAGTGACATCTGCCCTCTGATCTCCTAAGCTGTGAATCCAGTTTTGGGTGCTGATGAGACCCGGGACGAGTCGAAATCGCCGTTCAGCCTGTACGAGAACACCTTTTGGGAGTCAGGGGCTACTGATAGCATTGAGGGGGGGGAGCAATTCCACCCACAGTCCATAAACCACCATAAACGACCTATGGCAATTGAGTGTCTATCCATGAATTGCTAAAAGTTTTGGAGCCGACTCATCTGCCAAGATACTCATTTCCCGCTAACCTGAATTACTTGACAGTCTGGATAGTCAGTATGTACATGTAATCACCAAAATAGTGTCCCGTTATCCGAATATTTCTAGACTACATGTCTTGTGCAAACTTTCGACGCAGGCTAGTTTCACATTTTTGTCGCTATTGAGACCTATATCAGGTCATTACAAAGTTCGCATATAGTGATAACTTTTTAAAGTAATATTATTGCTATTTCTGTCCTATCAAGATCAATATAGTAATCGAAGTTAAATTCGCTATCATTAAGTCCAAAACTGATATATTTTCTACATACCAGCAAGTCTGCCCAGGCACCGTGCATATTTTGCTGGCCACGCCAAATGATTAAAATATATGCGCACATTTCAGCGAAGACGGGTACAAATGACAAGGTGGCCTCTGTCAATCTGTGCGCTCAGTTGTCAAGGTCACGAAGTGAGCATGGAGCTGTATGCTATTTGAAAAGTTGACATTTTACCTTAGGTTAAGGGTATTCCAGTAAATAAGGATGGAGTTATTCACGATGATTTGAGACAGGAGCCTTACTTTACGAAAATATTCCATCCTGTGGTCAAGCCCCAAAGTATCTTCACCTCTAGAAACTCGATTAAGAGTAAAGGACAAGTCATTTGGCTTTAAACGAGGCTTTTGGACAAAATCTTGAGTTCGGACTCAGACGGAAGTACTAATAAAATGCACATGAATTGTAAAATCGAACTTTTTGTAGCCACATCATGGATAGTTTATCGCTTCATATCTTTCTTACTTAGTTATCAACATTGTCATGTCAGCATCGAGGTCGAAATCGGTGTACTCGGCCATAATCAAGCTACTGACGACCCTCAACCAAAAAGTTGCTGTTTCCTAGCATTTTCAATGAAGCCTCACCTCATTTTGAAGGAGAATATTCCATCAAGCCTCGAGCGTATTCGCACCTTTACTACCGAATGGAAAGCTTGGGTCTGTGATTTACTTCTTCTATATTGTGGCGATGTAGGGAAGAGGATTGAAGAGAATCTCAATGTTTAGACATTATTCGAAAAACTGGTCTGACGGCTGACATTTGTTGTTTATATATGCCATCTGGCCAAGGCTAAATCCCATATAAATGGGGTGACCTCGTTTTCACGAATGGATAGTGTTGTCGGGACGACTTAATTGGACGCACTTTGACCCTGACAAAACGACCAAGTTGTGAAAACGAGGTCAGCCCACTTCTCTGCATCGAAGGAAGACTGTGGCCATATCAAAGGCCACATCATCTTGGTCTTCATACCTTTTGAATTCTACAGGCTCGCCTGCTTTGTCCCCACCACCACACCGACTGGCCCAACCCAGTAGCCACCCTTTTTAGTGTTTGACCCAGGCCAAGCAGAAAATGGTAGTCAGGATTGCGCTCAAGTCCTGAAACAGTAACTTCCACGCAACGATCTTTCTGACTCACGGACCGACCAGGCCTGGCAAAGAGAAACTTGGCGATTAAGTCCACACAAACGAAAATCCATACAACACTTGTCCTAACTTTCATTCACCTACAGACCAGCTTGAAGCTGACCATCTCGTTGATGAGGTGATCGCGAAATCGACTCAAGTCGCTGAGAGATTTTCGCCTCGTAAATGTTTTGCTCCATCGTCATTGTTGGCACATTCTAGGGCAATAGGGGATGATCACCAGTGAGGAGAGCGAACAGTCAAATCATAGCTGACAAGGACACAGCTCTCAACTGTAGAGAAGGATGTAGACAGTGCATGATTTATCGTGTGCAAAACTAAGCTTTCCAAAGTGGAACAACAAATGCCCTTTCACACACTCTCCTGCATCCACTGCCAAGCTGCTGCAAAAGCCGGGTGTACAACCTAGAAACGAAGACATAGCCAACATATCAGTTCAAAAAGTGTGATGAGACCCTTATGAATTCGGACAATTTTAATCTCTCACAGACAACCCCACCAGTAGCCGGAGTGGAATTTGAAAATAAATGCATAAGTATAGTCTCATTCTGGCGTCAGAGCCTATAAAAGCTGTGTACAAAATGTAGCAAAGTCGAGAGGCATAAAAACATTAATTAGGAATGTAGATAAATGTGCTCTGTTCGGATGATAGTTGCGATAGCTGAGTTGGACAGTGTGCGTATCTATATGCGTGTGTGTGTGTGTGTGCATAAGAGAGAGAGAGAGAGAGAGAGAGGAGGAGGAGACAAGAGAGGGTTAACTAGTTGATTGGTGAGTGAGTGAATGGTAGAAGGGGTTAAGGACCGAATGGTGGTAAGAGAACGAACGAACGAACGAGTAGGTCGGTTGGAGAGTGATTGACTGATTGAATAAGTGAATGACCGACTTTTGGGAGTAATGCTAAGCCGT